TTTGGTTAAGCAGTATTATTTATATTGATCTGAATAAAAAGAATTATTATAAAGGTATTTACAGTAGCTGTTTAGTTACAAATAATGACTTCTAAAAATTAATAGGCATGATTTTTTTTTATTGAGACGATTCCTTTTGGCACCAGTTTTGAAAGTAATATGTATAAACATGTTATTCTGATACTTTGCTATCAATAATAAAATGAAACAAATATTTGAATAACTATTAATTGAGCTTTTAACTTTTGCATATTTTGGTAATACAGAACAGAACTTATGGGAGGGTTTATGTACTCAGTATATACTGTTAATTCTCCATAGATGTATATACACATAATTTTATTTTAAAGAAATAAGACATAATTACTCTTTAATTACTATGGGTTATCTTTAATAAGCAAACAAGTAATTTTTTTCTTTTTCATAAACTTAAAGACTAAGGCATATTACTTAAAAAGATGCTGCAAATACCCCATAGCTGCATTGCAGGAATAATTGAATACTGCCAAGAAAGGTTGCAGAGCTCTACTGAGCCCTGCAATTTGTTGGTTACACATCACAGGCAGTCAGGGACTCATTAAAAAGTTGCTGAAGGTGTTTTCCAATGCACTTTGCAAACACATAGAAATTTTAATTTAATGGATTCATGGAGCTATTGCCACACTGCTGCTGATTGCCCAGGTTCTTTTATTTGTGAAGTTGTGTTTGCCATGACACACAAAATGTAAAATGCGAGTTATGCTGCAGCTTCACATTAGTTCTGTAGAAATGAGAAGTTAGAGGGAAGTGAGCTATCACAGCCCTTGTGTACATGTGAATATTCTTTGTGCTCCTCACAAGATGTAAAAAATGTTGGGTTTGGGTTGCATGGGTTTTTATGGTTCTATTTCTATAAAAAAGGAAACTGGGAAAGTGCAAATTGTGAATTTCTAATCTATTAGCCTTGAATCTTGATAATGTTTTTTATTCTAATTTGAGTTTGTCTTATCACACCTTGATTTTACTAATTTACATTCTTTCTAACTTTTGCGTATGCATTTCTTCTATCTGCATTATTTTCACTCCTAATCTTTGTTTCCCCCAAAAATATTTTTTTTATCACACTTACATCTTTTTTCTTTCTTTAATGTATTTTTCCTGACATAATTTGTCTTCGTCTTGGAGTGTTAGCACAGATAGGTCACCAGTTCCCACCTCACTGCCCAGATAGTGCTGCTTAACAAAATTAATAATATTAACTTGATTTAATATTATTATTAGAGAGCCTGGAGGTTCTCCGAGTAAATAACAGTTAGGAAATCACAATATGATATTCAGATGTTCACTAAGCCTTGCTAGAACCAAGTAAGAATTACCAAAAATTTATTTTAAAAAAGCAGTTGCAAAGGGAAAAATTAACTATATTTCTCTGTTTTTATCCATTTTCCTATGAACACCAGATATTAGCATAATTTTTGAGGATGTATAAGCAAAGCAAAGAGTATTTTCCATAAAAATTCATGTGTAGAGCAGAAATTTGCTGCAGAAAGGAATCCCTGTCCTGTTATCTCTAACCTCTATGTATCTATCTTGGGGTTGGAGACCAGGAGCTCAGAGCAGCATCATTTTCAGCTGGTTGTGGAGGCCTGGGGGAGGAAAAGGAAGAGCTTTTCTTCTGTGCAGCTTCTGTAGCCTTTTGTGAGGACCCTGAGCTGCGCTGGGTTTTCTGTGATCTGGAGTCATCCCCTCTGACAATCGAGTGGTGCCTCCTCCTGTGTGCCTGAGCATCCTGGGACAGATCCTCAGCTCTGCTGCCTGTTGGACTTGGTGGTTTTTTTGCTTATTTTATTGAGGGAAAACCAGAAACTTCCACAGACACAGGAGGGCTTGATCTGCAGTATTGGAAGAAGCTTGATGCAAAAATACAATACACAGACATAAAGCAGAAAAATAATAAACATGTGCCTCTCTAGTTGTAAGAAAGAATATGCCTTAAGTAAAGAAACTGGATTGAGTAAGATGGTGAAGGGTTTATAGTGTAGTAATGGAATAGGATGCAGTAGGTTGGGAGTTTAAAAGTTATAATATGTGTGCCTGTAAGTTAAAAGCCCATTGGATAAAAGTATCTGCAGTGCAGCAAAATTAAATAAAGGTGCTAGGTTAGAAAAGCAAAATACACCCTGTGGCAGCTGTCTATTGGGTTAGAAAGCTCTGTATTGCCTTGTAACAAAGAACTTGTGACTGCTCTGAGCTATGGCCCTGTTCTTGCTCCTCTAAAATCTCACAGCCTCTGAGACTGGTGTTTATCTGAGCAATAAATCATTCTTAGCCCAAAAACAGTCCCATCCCTTCATTTCTGGTGGTGACAATAATCACTAACTCCAGCCTTCAACACCACAGGCTTCCAGAAAATCTGGGAGCAGCAACTCTGTGGAGCATTCAGGCTTTTGTCTCTCCTGCAGCTTCAGGTGTTGTGCACAGAACCACAACAGGGCAGTCAGAGCCTGGTCTTTGGAAGATATTTATGCCAATTTGTTGGGCAAGTCACACTCACTGGGCTGGAGAAACATATATGTTCTATGAAATGCAGCCAAGAGTTTAAATATTACTGAGTCAATACAGTCCCATTCAGCAGTGATACAATAATAAAATTCAGCACATGCTGAAAAAACAGGGCACTAGATTTGTGTCTTCTTTTCCACTCCAGAGAAGTAAGGATGCAGTGTGTGATTTCAAGGAGCTGTGACTGAAATCAGATCTTTTGGTTTAAACTCTTCTTTTGTTTTTCTTTGAAGACATTTGACTTTATTTTTACTTCTGCATGAAAGTGCAAGTCTTTGTGCTCTGAAATCTTTAAGAATTTGCTCTTAGAATTTGTCATAGGAAAGTCCTTGGCTCCTTTGCAAGTGCCCAGGTGTTTTTTTCATATTTAGAATCAGAGTTTTAGCAATGTTCTCTGTCAAATGGAAGGCATGTCCCATACAACTTAGCTCGTGCCAGGAAAAAAGCTTTTCTGTGCTAACAGCAATCATCTTTAGCTTTTATATTTACTTTAAAGCTTACCCAGTCCTGCTAGTTTCCTTTAGAGCTGTAATTGCTGAAGTCCAGTGGGTGGACTGGTGTCAATCAAGCTGAGCACAGACAGAGACCCTCTGCCTTTCCAGAGGTTTCATTTACCACTTATTTCACTTGCCACTTGTTTTTTAGCTGAATGGCTTAAAACTTTGGGACAGTAGATGAAATCCTGCTTTTGTTGGAGTCAATAACTGATCATTTATATTAACTGCTAATAATTGTTCGTTTATATTAGATGCTTGTGATTCTTTTGCTCTGAGCTATACAGATAATGATTAAGCTGAAATGTTCAAGACCAATATAGTGTTCTTTGTATTCTAAAGTTAGCACAACAATTTCAGAAGGCATGAAGAAAGGCAGAGGAAATTTGGTAAGAAAGATGAAGTATTTTTGTACATTTTTATGGTTTATCTTGGCAAATTTTTGCTTATGATTTTCTCTAAATTTTCTCTAAGTGTGAGCTCTTGGCTGCCTACATATACAGACACAAGGAGCCCACATGCACATTTCCAAATTGATGCTACATTCAAAATAGTTGAAGCAAAAAGACAGACTATCTTCATCTCTTTGCTCCTTTGCAATTTGTATTTTAAATTTAGCCTTTCTATATATTTGTGTGCATCCATTACCTTTCCTCCACAACTTTAACAAACCTAGCTGCTCCTGACTGACACGTGTCTTGGGAAGGCAAAATCCTGCCACTGTTCAGAGAGAAAAACGCAGGTGGGAGGCCAATCCCACCACGGGTAGGGCACGAGAGCATTTAAACAGAAAAAGTGCATTTAAAGCCCTCAAGGAGCTGGAAACTGGGAGTTTCAAACAACCCACACAAAACCATTGACTGCTGTCAAAACTAGCATGGCCTTAATTTTCTTTTTAGCCTTACCTCTACTGCATATGACTTCGGCATAGCTTTCACCACTTTAAAATAACTTTCACTGCTTTCCACCACTTGAAAATCTATTTAGGTTATAGGAAGTTTTTGGGTTATTCATTCTGAAAAGTGCTTTTTTGTAATTACATTGCATGCCAAGGAACTCCAATACCATTTAGAAAATATCATTTTTCTATTTGATGCAAAAAAAAAGAGCAAATGCACTTAAAAATGCTTCTATGAAAATGTGTAAGAAAGTGCCATATGTGTTTATATGAAAATGCTCCTTATGTGTTTTTAATTCATGTGTCTGTAGCATGCTATTATGCATTCTTCAGATAGAGTTTCCTTTTAGCTTTTAGAAGGAAAATTCATTAGATATTCTTTCAATGATAGCAGGAGAGTTGTGTTTAAAGCCAGAGGAATTAAGTGAATTATATACAGCAATTTTGTTGACAAGTAAAAAGAATAGAAGATCATAAAGACTATATTTGAAGGTCTGAAAAGTTAATTTTTTGGCATTGAAGCTCACTGTGATCTCCATGTAAAAATGGACAATTTCCTACCAGTCTCCATCTTAATGACCCAGTAAAATAATTGCCAAAAATAATTTTAGGGTCCACATTTCTGAATCTTCAGATTTCCATTTTTACTGTGGGGTATTGTGCTCCACAGATGCAAAGGGTAATTTATCTGTGAGAGAAGAGAGATGGAGCAAAAGCTGTGTAAGGCAAAGTCAATAAGTTCATCATTTATAATATAATATAATATAATATAATATAATATAATATAATATAATATAATATAATATAATATATCACACAAGTCTCCAGTACTATGTGACTCTATTTTGAATTTAGTCTCTCCTTGGCTTGTGAGTTATTCTATTATTATTATTATTATTATTATTATTATTATTATTATTATTATTCTATTAATGACTATAATGTTGCTTATCAGAAACAACCAAATGCCTTGTAAAGAATACTGGCTGGTAGGGAAAACTTCAGTTCTTATTGCAGTAAATGAATTTGTGATGAATTTTGACCATTATGACAATTTTTTTTTGTAGAACAATTATTCATATTCTGGAATGTCTCTGAAGGTAAGCCTTTTTTCTTTGGACGCAACTCTTGCACTTCACCCCCAATTTTGTTCTTTCTTTGTCTTCCTAGCTCCATATTGAGTGGTCCAACAAGGACCCTTTAACTTTCTTCTCTTTTTCAGCCCTTTCTGTGTAAAACTATATTAAAGGTTGACTCCTAGCTCAAATCACCTCCATTAAATAATCAGAAAATTGAGTGGTGGCATTAGGACGCATGCTTAACAACCACAGATTGACTTTTTCTGATATCTAACTCTGCTAAAAAAGGAAGCCATAGCACCTAGTTCCCAGCTCAGCGTAAGAAGCAGTGCAGAGCTACTCATTCTGCCCCCAAAGAGAATTTTGGTAAGTGCAGTTTCATTCTTCCCTCACTGTGTCAGAATGGGAATAAATTCACAACCCTTTTACTCGCGCAGATTTTCCCTGCCTTTATTTTCCTGGTGAAAACATGGAGTAAAGATTGTGTTCTCTCCTTCCTTATCCCTGCCAGCCAACTTTCTTCACATGTGTTTGGAAAAGGAAAAGAAAAACAACAATTGGTGACTAGATGGGAACCTTGAAATGAGGTAAAAACTCAATATATTCCAATTTAGTTGCTCTGGATTTGTTCAGTGTTATCCAACCCCATGCAGAGGATGGATTCATCCTTCCCTGAGAGAGAACCACCCTGACTGCAGTGTTTATTCCTGAGATAATCAAGAAGGGTTTGGGTAGGTGATATTTTTAATTAATTCTGAAACTTTCTAAAGAAAAGGGATGTTTTCTTCAAATTTTCTTTGTTTTTATTTAATATATGATAGTTTTTGCTTGTAAACCAATTTTTAGAAGAGATTTTTTCAACAGAGCAAAATATTATTTATTTAGTTATACTGAATACTAAAGTATTCAGTTGAGAATTTAAGCAGATTTTTGCTTTTGTTAGGACCTTGCTGCTGCTCTAATTACAAACATTAAACTACTCTTTTCTTTTAGGGAAAAATGTAATTTACCATGTCAATATTCAGTAAGCTAATAATAAGATCATGCAGGAAATATTGTCATGAAAAGCTATTAAATCAAGCATTTTTCTTACAATATCTCATGCTGTGAAGATGTCAGCATATTCTATAAATGAAATATTAATACAAAATTGATGGCAGTTAAAAGTGAAGAATTATTTCAGAGTAGGCTTCTTGATGGCAAAAAGAAATAAGCCCTTCAGATATGATATTATTAATACATGCTTCTTATCAGAATTCTACCTGTAAGTGTATATTAATGGATATTATTCCATTTGTTGGGATAATTAAAAATATTTCTAAAATTATATCAGTGATAACTTGCTTCTCCACCAATAACTTATAATTGAAATTAGCTTGTCTCAGTTATAATACTTCTCCTTGTTGTTTACTAATTTCTAACAAATCAAACTTTCCTTAAATAAAACAGACTCACTAAACATCACATGTAGACCTCAGTCCTGATCTCATTTCTTTGGCAGAAATTCTGAATTACCTGCCTGAGGTCAGCATGAATTGCTTTTCCAGTTCCATGTACTTAGCAATTGTATCTCTTCCTGTTAAAAGGAGTGTACCAAAACAATAAGTTTTTAATGACTGCCACTTATTAGCAGAAATATGCAAGTAGAAGACAAACACAATTTATCATTACCAAAACCAAAACCTGAACCATCCTTAAAATGTTTAGAAGGCCATGAAAATAAAAACAGAGCAAAGAAATTCATGTACCTGATGAGAGAAATATGTATTGTGGGCAAAATATTAACAACATTTTTTGTTTCTAGATTTTCCAATAAATTTTATTTATAATATATATTAATAATAAATTATCATCTCTATATCAATATATGTTTAATATAATTAAAATAAATAATATTATTAGATCTTAAATTAAAGATATTAATATAATATTTAAATATTAATAATTAGCAATCACTTATATAGAATACATATGATATATGATATATGATATATGATATATGATATATTATATATATAATATATATAACATATAAAATATATAATATATATTAAATTATATATAATATGTTACGCATATTATATTATATATAATAATAATTAATAATAACTTATATATAAGATAAATAATATTAGATCTTACAATAAATATAAATATATAATTATATGTTAATTATTATTTATTTTCCTATTAATATAAAATATATTCTTAATATTTATTTTCAGTAAATGTTATTGTTAGATATTCCAATAAATATTATTCATTTCGAGACACCAAATTTTCTCTTTGCAGCTTGTAAATTGATAACCCACATACACGAGTTCATTTGATGAATTCTGATGTTGGGAATGACATCCAGATGCCATTCAGGTCATTCATTAACTCGAGCAGGGTGTTTTAACTCTCCTCCAAAGACTTCTGGCAAGCCAAAAACCATGGAGGTGGTGCCAGGTTCTGCACCAGCAGTGCCCAGGCACCTTGTAGGGGTCACACATCCTTTGGAATTCTTTTAGGAGGAATTTCATCCCAGAGGTGTTTGATGAAAAGCTGCATGTGGCACTCTGCAGGAAGGAGCCCTGGCTGCTGAGAATTTCAGGCTTTCTGTGCTTGTAAACATTGTTTATATTTATTTCTTACCTTGTTCTACACAGCCACACATTGTTTGATTGGTAGCTCCATGTGAGAATCAAAAAACCAGAAATTTCCACAGACACAAAAAGATTTAATCTGCAGACTTAGAAGCTTAGATTGATATAAAAATACTGTATATAGACACTAAGCAGAGAAATCATAAACTTATGTTTTTATAGTTATAAATAAAAATATACCTTAAATGAGAAACTGTATTAAAAAGATAGTGAAGAGTTTATAATGTAAGAGTATAGCTATATAGAATAACCAAGAGTTTAAAAGTTATAATAGAAACATGTGTGCCTGTGACTTAGAATCCCATTAAAGTATCTGCAGTACAGCAGAAGTAAATAAAAACAATAAATTAAAACCAAAATAACCCCTATAGCAACTGTCTCTTAAATTAGAAAGTTATAAATTACCTCGTAACAAAGAAACTTGTGACTACTCTTAAGCTATAGCCAACAGTTCACTCCTTTAAAATCTCACAATCTCTAAGACTAATGTTTATCTGAGCAATAAAACATTCCAAACCCAAAAATAATCCCATATCTTCATTACTAACAGCAACAGTAATAGCTCTGCTTTCCCCATGCATCTCTTGACTGGCAGCTCTGCTTTGTCCACGAGGCAAACACACGTCTTTTTATTAATCTAACTGGTAGATGCCGTAAGTGCTCAGGTTAACACCCCTTTGTCTGTTAACAACTTTTCTGCTTCTTCTTTCTTCTCACAACATCAGCTTTTTTTATCCCCAAAGATGACCTTGTTCTTTAGTTCCAGAAGTTCAGCTGGTTCATTCAGTCCATATCCATTTTCCTGTAAATAAGATCCCACAGGCACTCACAGCTCTCTGATTCTCTTTGGAATTAAGACATCCATTGCTCAGAGAATTTTGCCTTTTGAATAATTATGTCAGTTATCAATATTTCACGTGTCCTTCAATGTGGTTATTAATTTCAGTGTCATTAAGTATTAGCCTGAATACAAATTTTGTAGTATTTCCATGTTAAATGATCATGCTTTACCTTTAAATAGTCCCCATTTTTTGTAGTTTTCCTAACTCAGTAGTTTCCTGTAAGTATAATTTGAACAGAAGGCATTGTATCACACTAGAGGGCATATTAATTATCATAGGTATTCCAATAAAATGTAGATATATCTAATCAATGCCAGATTAGATTTTTATTCACTAACCACTTAGACATTTAACCAATGAGCAGTTGTTAACATAATTGGTATCACTGGGATATATGATTTTCATATTAAAGGTTTACATATGAAAACCTTTGTTCATAATTTTTCATATTAAAGGGTTTTCATTTTACAAAGGTGCTGAATTTGAACATTAGAACCCATGGTAAATAATTGTGGCACCATTGCAGCCTTACTTTTGATGTTTTTTTTCTGGTTTCTGATTACCTAGGGACATTGTATTGGGTTTTTTTTTTTACAATGAAAGCAATGAAGGGCCAAGAAAATCCATTTCTTTCATCCCTTAGCATTCCTCCTGTGATATTCTAGAAGCTGAGTGCTGTTAAAGCTGTTTTTTTAAACTATTTGGGCACACGAAAATGCAGATAGATGCACGATGTGATTGTCGAAATCTGGACAGTTTTTATCCTCTACTGGGAGGGAAAATGCTGGAAAATGGTGAGAATATCATCATGACTTCACTCATTGCTCATTAAGAAAAGTCTTCCCCATGATTCCCAATGGTGTTTGTTTTGCCTTGTTTAGAAAATAATTACAGCTGCTGAGCTCAGCTCGTGGTATAAATCAATAGTGCAGCTGCTGAAGCTTGGCTGCTCCGCAGCAGCTGAGGATTTGTTTCACTCACTGTAGACTCTTATTGCTGTTCTGACAATCGTGTGCCTCCTGCCCCTGGCCCAGGCTGCAATTGGCAGGTTCAGAGCCCTCTCTGATAACACGAGGGGGCTCAGGGTAACTGAGCATTAAAACTGACAGCTGACTCTGCAGAGCCAAACTAAACAGGAGAGCCATGAATGGATGCTGGCAATAGCAGATGGACTCCATGTACTGACCTAACACAAATACCTGAAACTCCTGATTGCTGGGGATTTACACCAGCATCCCCAGACTGTGGATACCTTGCAGGATTGCCTTGGAACCAGTGTAGAATCATCATCAGCATTAGAATCTGTGAAATTAGAAACGTGCTATTATAAGTATTCATCAGTGCAGGTATGTCGCCCTGATTCTTAAGATTTTCTAAAGCCTTCTGAGTTTACATTCTGTTAGAAAACTTTCCCACACAATTTATATAAACAACATATTGTTTTGCATTCCTTCATGGGGGTGGAGAAACTTGATGTACTAGTGGTTTGTCCAATGTCTTTGGAGAGGTGGCCCATTCACTCTCC